GTGGCGTTCAGGAGCCAGGGGCCCTCGGACCTCCTCTGGGAAACCTGTGGGCTTCTGGACACAAAAGCAGGGGACTCCCATCTGTGTGTCCGGAAAGGCCCCTCATGGGCACTGTCAGCAACGCGGGTGGGAGCCCATACATGCGACGTCCTGGTTTTTTCAGGACGGCCTCCCCGGAAATCCAGACCCTTTCCCCGAAACTGGCTCTTCATCCTGAGTCGTTTTTGACGGCCCCAGGGCCTGGTGAGAGCATCCCAGGGCTGAAAATAGCAAAAAACCAACCGTCCTAATTTTTTAACGACGTGAGCATGTCTGCGAGCCCTTCCCCGTGGCGTCCAGGAGCCCGTGGACCAGAGCGGAGGACGAGGACGAGGAGGTTCAGGAGGAGGACTTCGAGGACGACGAGGAGGAGGGCTCAGGAGAGAGGAAGGGGGAAGGCAGGAGGGATCAGAAGGAGAAGGAGGGAGGAGGGGGGAGCAGGAGAACCAGGAACAGGGATGGAGGAGGAAGTAGGAGGCACGAGGAGAGGGAAGGGAGAGGAGGCGGGAGGAGGGGGAGAGGAGGGGGGGGGGCAGGAAGTTGAGTGAGAACATTCAAGTCAGAGGACGAGGCGGAGGCGGAGTAGGAGAAGGACGGAGAGGCCCGTCCCAGGGACCCAATACTCTCCGAGACCTCTTGGAGACAACCTGGTTGTTCTCTAGAGGGCAGGCGTCGCACAGGTCCTGGTTGAGGACCCAACGTGTTCTGGAGAAGACCCCCTCTGTTCTGGAAAGGACCCACTGTTTTCCGTGTGGAGCTTTCCCGCACATGCGCGCCTGGCAGCAACTAGGGACATCGAGGTCTCATTTGGGCCCCGGTGAGCCCGATCTCCGCTGGAGCCGCCCCACAAGCGCAGCAAGGCGGAGAGGGCTGCAGCCGAGTCACGCTTGGCAGCATCAAGTGACGCCAGAGTCTCAGACGGGCGTCCGTGCTCTGAACTCTGACGTTACCAACTCCTTGCGACATCGCGAAAATCATGACTGGAGCCCCAGACCCTGTCTTCCTGGGTCATCTGTCGGGCCCCGAAGCCAGGCGAAGCCGCATTTGTCAGGCCAGCTCTCAAGGTAACACTGCGCTCCGCCGGACGCTTCACGTCTGCCGGCACCCAAAGACGGCGAGGCCTTCACGCGGTCGCCGGAGAGACCCCGCCCGGCCGGACCCCACAGACTGCCGCAGCACCCCGCGAACGGCGACGCCTTCGCGAGACCTGTGTGAGACGGCATCCCGCTGGGCCCCCCCAGGCGCAATGGATAGAGGCCTCCTGGATGGGGTCCGATTAGATAAGGTCTCGTAGATAGAGGCCTCCTAGATGAGGCCTCCTAGATGGGGTCGGAGGATCGCGCCGCATCGCCGATGCATCGGCGGCGTCGGCGATGCATCGGCGCCGTCGGCGTACGGGAAGTCGGGCTCCATGTCGAGCCGCATCGCCGATGCATCGGCGTTGCGGCGATCCTTCGCCCCCACCCACTTCGACCCCAGCTGGGAGGCCTTGAGCAGAGTGGTAACAATGGCGCGCCTGGTAGCGCCCAGATGCGGTGATGTTTACCGCTTGGGCCCCCGCGAGACTGCGCGCCGCTGGACCCCCACGTGGGCGCAGCAGAGTGGCGAGAGTTGCCCGCCTGGCAGCACCTAGATACAGTCGGCCCGTATCATAAAGATGCGCGGTAAGGATGCAAGGGCCTTGGACTCCCATTCCGAAGCTTTTCGAGCGGGGCGCGGCCAGCGAAAGTGGCCAAGGATGGACCGAGGAGGCTAGGATGCAAGGGTACCCGTGGGAAGGCTGCTCATCCTTACAATGCGGGCTGACTGTACGGCAAAGTCTTATCGAGATCCCGGGTCATACCGCACTCCGCTGCACCCTTCACGGTCGCACTGCCCGAGGACGGCGAAGCCTCACCTGCGCAGGACATCGCAGGACCGCGCTCGGCTGGGGCCTCGAGGAGACCGCTGCACGCCTGGCAGAGCCCAGAGAGGGCGAGGTCCTAGTAATAGGCTGCCAGTCGGGCCGCACTCCGCCAGACCCCGCGCGTGCGCCGCAGCACCCGGGGACGCGCAGTTCCGCTTGGATCTGCGCAAGGCCGCAGCACGCTGGACCCGCGCAGTAGAGCGGGAAACACTGGCACGCCTGGCGCCCAGGGACGACGAGGTCCCGTGCGGGTTCTACGGTAAGACCGAACTCCGCCAGACCCCCACAGGGCACAGTGAAGTCGCGACAACTATACGCCTGGCAGCATCCAAAGACGGCGAGGTCTCACTGATGTTCCCAATCGGACCGCACCCCGCTGAGCCCGCACGGGCGCAGCATCCGAGGTCTCCTTAGGGCAGAAGGTCAGACCAAAGCCCACTGGACCCCCTAAGGCGCGCAGCAAACGGGCGACAATTGGACGCGTTGCAGCATCCACAGACGGAGAGGTCTCGGTTTGGGCCCCCGTGAGACCGCACTCTGCTGGACCTCCAAAGCGGCGCAGCAATATGGAAACAAATGGACGCCTGGCATCAGCTGGAGACGGCGGGTGTCGGTGCGAGCCCCCGTAAGACCGAACTCCGCTGGCGTAGCAACATGGAACCACTTGCACGCCTGCCAGCACCTAGAGACGACGAAGTGTCGCTGCGAGCCCCCGTATGACCCCACTCTGCTGGACCAGGGGCGCAGCAACATGGAAACAATGGCACGCTGGGCAGCACCCAGAGACGGCGAGGTCTCGGACTGGGCCCTCGTGAGACCGCACTCCGCCGGACACCCCAGAGGGGCGCAGCAACCTGGAAGCAATGGCACGCCGGGCAGCACCCAGAGGGGGGGGACCTCTTGGGAAGGCTCTTAGGGTCGCTGATTCTCAGAACGTGTGTTAGCGCCAACGTGTGCTGGTCCATCGAAGCCCTTCAATACAACGCACGTAGCGTAATGATGGCCGACACAGGCCGAACGCGGTTAACACACATTGGGCCAACACACGTCCTGAGGATCATGGGCAGGGGCTCTCTGTGGGCGACTCGAAGGCATCTTGGGCCGTCTTGGGGCCCATCCTCGGCGTCTTGGACCGATCGTGCGGCGTCTCTGGGGCGGTCTCGCTCTGGTGGCCCCCCGCGAGGCCGCGCTCTCCCGCGGGGGGGGGCGCCGCCGAGCCGCCACCGCTCCGCAGCTGCACCTCCCCCCCCCCCGGCAGCACCCCGGGGCCACGGGGCGGGCGCGCCTTCTGCCGGCTTTCGCCGTGCGGCGGTGGAGGGAAGCAATTACAGAACACCTCCCCGCCCCGCCCCCCCCGAGCTCAAAGCTGGCACGCGCCGGGGGAGACTGCGGTCGAGGTGCAACTCATCAGCCCCACCGCCAAATTTTGGAACAGTGGGGGGAGGGGGAGGCGTTGACAGATGAGTGTGGCATGGGTGTTCGCTATTTTTTGTCCGAGGCCTGGACCGCACCTCGCTGGATCCCCCCCCCAAGAGACAAAACAGACTGCCGACGCGAGCACGGAGCTGCAGCGCCCAGGGAGGCATGCTGGCAGCACAGAGGTCGAGTGGGGGAGCGACTACAGAATCGATTTGCCCCAGAGTTGATTTTCCCGTCAAAATTGCGAAGCATACGTGCAATGCTCACAGCTCACAGATCTACGGGACATTCGACGCCTTTTTTTCGCGGCTCCGACGAGCACCTCCACTCTGGGGCAACTCAATTCTGTGGTCGATCCCCTACCCGAAGAGAGGAACGCGAAGGGAGGCTTCGCCTTCGGCGAGCATCTGCCCCAGCGGCGGCGCCACGTGAGCGACGAACATCGACGGGCGTTACTCTGCCTCACGCCGCGGCTTTCGAGGGCCGCCGGCGCGGCACGCCATGTACACTGGAGACGGGGGGGGCGTACGCGCGACCTCACGAGGGCAGCTCACGGGCCAACGTCGGCTCGAACGAACCCGTTGTTTGGCGTCGCTCGCGTGGCGGCTCGCTCGTGAGACCTCCCCGAAGAGCAAGTGGACACAAAAGACATGCGCGGCAGAGACGGCAACCTCAACACGTAACGCACACTCTGCTTGCGACGGGCAACATCTTCCAGCCCTGAATGCCAAGCGCAGTTGCTCTGAGCGGCTTCCTTCCACGAGCTCGCAGGAATGTTGTGCGCCTTCGTTTCGAGGAATGAAGCGGGGGAGGGCGACGAGTGGGGAGGCGGAAGATGAGGAGCGGCATGTGCTCTGTTCGGTACGCGAGCCCAGCACAGGCGGGCCGGGAAAACAATGCTGCAAGAAACTGCGACGTGTGCCAGACAGCAGGGCCACCGACCCGAGAGCGTTGCAGCGATGGTGGGTTGTCGCTCTGCCGAGCTTGTGTCACCAGCTCGTGGGCCTGCGCTGGCAGCGCAACCTGACGAGGATGAGGTCGCGCAGCGTGTCGGCTACACGGACACGCGACGTCCTGATTTTTTCTAGACGCGGCCCCTGGAAGGCCTGACCCGTTCCCCTGGCCGACGATGGCCACAAACCTGCCGTCGTGACTTTTTCTTACGACGCGATCCTGTCTGGGAAGCCCCCTCGCACCAAACGAACATGATGGGCCGATGTTCTACCACCACTACCACAGGTAGGAGAGGAGGGAGGAGGAGGAGGAGGAGGAGGAGGAGGAGGAGGAGGAGGAGGATGAGGAGGAGGGAGGAGGAGGAGGAGGAGGAGGAGGAGGAGGAGGAGAAGAAGGAGGGGAGGAGGAGGAGGAGGCGGGAGGAGGAGGAGGAGGAGGAGGAGGAGGAGGAGGGAGGAGGAGGAGGCGGAGGCGGAGGCGGAGGAGGAGGAGGAAGAGGAGGCGGAGGGCAAGTAGAGGCGGAGGAGGAGGAGGAGAGGAGGAGGAGGAGGAGGAGGAGGAGGAGGAGGAGGAGGACTAGGACCTCCCCATCCTGCCCTCTCCACCGCCCTACCCATGGCAGTGGTGGTGGAAAACGTGCCCATCAGAGCATTAGCCTGGCAGCACTGGCCGCGGGCGCCGCCTGCATCACCACGGCCAGGGTGTGTCGCACCTATCGGCCGAGCCCCCTGGGGCCAGGCGGGCGCACCTGGCGCCGCCGTCGTCGTCGGAGCGGGAGGGGGAGGGGAGGGCAGGGAGGGAGGAGGGGGGGGGGGGGGAGAGCGACGAGGGGGGGGGGGAGGGGAGGGAGGGGGGGGGGAGGGGAGGGAGGAGGAGGGGGGAGGGGAGGGGCAGAGAGGGAGGAGGGGGGGGGGAGGGGAGGGGGGAGGGGAGGGCGACGAGGGAAGGATAGGGAAGGGGGGGTGGGGGAGGCGAGGGTGATCGGACGAAGCTGGACCGAGCGGGATGAAGCCTGACGGGGCCAGTCTTCGACCAAGGATCTGCCAGCGCCGATGCTGAACTGCACCTCCGAGGAGTTGCATCACGTCGCGTTTTTTTGTTTCGCGACGCTAGCATGTCTCCCAGACTCCCGACGTGATCTTGTCATGACGTGACACGTGGCCCTCAAAAACCCGGACCCCTTCCCGGGGACCGGTTTTTCGTCCCGAGTCGCTTTTCGACTGTCCCGAGGCCCGGCGAGGGCCCCTGGAGGCCGAAAGTAGCGAAAAACCTCCTGTCACTGGGGGTCTGGGATATCTGGGCTTTCGGGGGTCTGGGAGGTCTGCGCTTTCGTGTCATAGCTAGGGGTCGGGCATGTCCTCCTACAGGCGGATTTTGGGCGAAAAATTAAACATAGTCAGAACAAAATGCCCAGAAATAATCAACAAATCGTCCCCAGACTATGTTTTTGACCATTTTGGAACACCACTCCTCTAGGACACGCCCGACTTAATCATAGCTCAGCTCTCTGGCGGCCGCTCAGGACGTGCCGGGCCCCCCCAAGAAGGCCCTCGGCGACGGGGGCACCTTCTGGAGAGAGCACCCCCGAGGCTGGAAGAAACCGCCCAGAAGCTGCAGGATCCGCCGTCGCGGAAAACAGAACAGGCGTAACAAATCACCAGAGCCCTCCTACCCAGGTCTCCTCGCGTCGTGGAAAAAACACAACGGGGGGGGTTCCACTATTTTCGGCCTCCAAGGGCCCCCACTGGGCCTCGGGACCGTCAAAAAATCCTCAGGATGAAAAACTGCATCGCCAGAACCTCAGAGAGCCTCGAACTCGGACCCCTGGGCCCAGAAAAACGCTCCCAGGACCCCCCCCAGGCGCCGCCGCCGCCGTGGCCGGCGATACGCTCCGCGCCTGAGGCCCAGGCCCCCGACGTCGTGACTTTTTCGCGACGGGACCCCCTGCAAGAGCCTGGACCCCTTCCTGGGGACCGGCTTCCCGCGAGTCGTTTCTTGACGGCCCCGAGGCCTGGCGAGGGCCCCTGGAGGCCGAAGGTCGCGAGAAACAACCTCCCGCCGTGATTTCTTCAAGGTGCGACGACCACCACGACGACGACGACGACGGCGACGACGACGACGACGGCGACGACGACGGCGGCGGCGTCGTATGACGACGGCGGCGGCGGCGACGACGATGACGACGACGACGACGACGGCAGCGAATACGATGACGGCGGCGGCGGCGACGACGACGACGACGACGACGACGGCAGCGATGACGACGATGACGACGACGACGACGACGACGACGGCGACGACGACGACGGCGGCGACGACGACGGCGAATACGACGACGACGCGAAGTGGCCTGGGAAGGCCGCCCCGCCCCTCGGGGCGCGGCGCCGCGGCGAGCGCTCGCGGCGGCGCGGCGGGCCCGCACCGGCGGGGCCGCGGGTCTCTAGAGGCCTCCCGGGTGGGGCCCGACTCCCAGACCCCCTCGCGTCGTGACAAAAATCACGAGGGGAGGTTTTTCAAGATCTTGGGCCTCTGGGGGCCCTCGCCGGGCCTCGGGAGAGTCAAAGAACGAATCAGGATGAAAGGCTGGTCCCGGGGAATAGGTCGAGACCTCTGGAGGTCGATGTCATGAAAAATCATGACGTCAGGGGTCTGGGGTCGGAGGATCACGCCGCATCGCCGATGCACCGCCACGTCGGTGGTACACTGGCGACGTCGGCGTGGAGAACATCGGGCTCCGCATCGAGCCGCATCGGCGACGCATCGGCGATGCGGCGCGAACCTCCGACCCCATCTACTCCGACCCCCTCCAGGAGGCCTAGTTTCGAGGTCGGGCGTGTCCTCCTACAGGCGACTTTGGACGAAAAGCAAAAACAACTCAAAAAATATACCCACATAGCAAAAAGCACAAACAAATACACCCAAATAGTCAGAAAACAATAGAAAAATCGTATCCAGACTACTTTTCTCGCCTGTTTTGGAATACTCCTCCTGCAGAGGGACACGCCCGACTTACGCCTAGTGCGAACCGCTGCCGGCGGCCGCGCGGCCGCGCGGGCGCGCGGCGGGGCGGACCGGGGGGGCCCGCCCGGGGGGGGGGCGCGGGCCCGCCCCTGGCGGGGACGGGCGAGCGGGCGGCGGCGCCGGTGGGCCCCGCGGCGGCGAGCCGCGGCCCGCCCGGGAAGGGCCGCGGCGCGGGCGGCGGCCGCGCGCGCGCCCGCGGCCGCGGGGCCGCCGGGCGGCGTCGTCGTCGTCGTCGTCGTCGTCGTCGTCGTCGTCGTCGTCGTTTTCGTCGTTTTCGTCGTCGTTTTCGTCGTTTTCGTCGTCGTCGTCGTTTTCGTCGTTTTCGTCGTCGTCGTCGTCGTCGTCGTCGTCGTCGTCGTCGTCGTCGTCGTCGTCGTCGTCGTCGTCGTCCTGGTCGTGGTGGCGGTGGTGGTGGTGGTGGTGGTGGTCGTCGTCGTCGTCGTTTTCGGCGTCGTCGTGAAGAAATCGCGGCGGGAGGCCTTTCGCCAGTTTCGGCCCCCAGGGGCCCTCGCCGGGCCTCGGGGCCGTGCAGAGACGGCTCGGGAGGAGAAGCCGGTCCCCGGGACGGGCTCCAGGCTCCTATAATTACCCGCCTGGAACATATCCCTATCCCTATGCTGGGCACCTCCTCATCACGATGCCCATCTTAGGGATTCCCT